ATTTTCTTGTCGATCTCTTCAGACAAATGGGAATAAGGAGGACTTTATCGGTTTGCAATATTTCTTTAGGTTTGCCACTTTGTGTGGCTTTAAATCTGTCCTCTAACTTATTTATAAAGGTGTCTTGAATTATTTGTACCGTTTTATTTGCCTACAGTCTATCCGCATTATTTCAAGGTTAATCTCTCTGAGTTCATTAATGTTTGTGTTCGGAATAATCATTTTTGATTTCCCAGTTGTACCCAAAGAGCTGTACGGTTTCTTAAGGTGCATCAGTTTCACATTCCTTTCAGGCTTTTAGGGAATGCTAAGAAGAGTGAAATAGCAATGATTGTAGTTTTCTCTAACACTAGTCATTGCTTAAGGAAACATCTTCAGCTAGTAGACATTCCAGTTTTTCTAGGTTACCTGCAAAAAGCATATTCCAAAGAATAATTTATCAGTTTTCCCAGATGGATTGAAAATATGCATTTAATATTTAATCCATGCATTGATTTTGCACATATTTACTGAATACCATTTTTGCATGAGGTCCTGAGTCATGAAATAGCAACATAGGAAAACCAGCTCCCTGTGTGTCCTCAAAGAACAAAACCAGCAGAAAGACAGCAACAAAGTCTCTGCCAGTGTTTTGAAATGTTGTTACTTTCAAATCATGTATGACACTATTAAAATGTAGGAAATGACTTTTTTCGATCCAACTTTTTGTTATTAATAAAAATATTATGAGCATCCCAGTTGGCGCTAGTGGTAAAGAACCGGCCTGCCATTGCAGGAGATGTAAGAGACCCATACTCAACCCTTGGGCTGAGAAGATGCCTTGGAGGAGGGCGCGGCAACCCACTCCGGTGTTCCTGCCTGGAGAATCCCATGGACTGAGAAGCCTGGCGGGCTGCAGATTAAAGGCTCAGGAAGAGTCACATACGACGGAGCGACTAAGCTCACACGTGGTGCTAACTACTGAGCAGGGGTCCCAGCCAGAAAGGTACAGTTTTAGTAGAGTTTTGTTTTGGCTTTTTGCTGAGATTTTAGATTCTACCCTCTTCTATGAGCCTTATGAAGTAGATTATAACCTACAGCATAGAGTCTTGTGATAGCATTGTCAGTGGCAAAAAGACCATGGTAGGGTGGGCATTTGAATTCATGCTTAAGAAGATACAGAATAATAGTAATAGGGTTTCATGTAAGAAACAGCTAGGTTAGAGGTTTACAGGAAAACTGACTATTAGAGCGTGGAAACTACATTCTGTTGGGAAAGGCAGCCTAATTGTTTTATTCTGGGACTGCATTTTCCCAAAAAGTGCATTTGGAAAAATTCTAAATTGAAGGAAATAAACAAGCCCTGTGGAGAAAATTGTACTGTTATCTGTCCAGGATACACTTGTGTGTTTATAACTATGAGGATAATGGGAATGAGGTGAAGAGATTTCTGCCTGTTTGGTTTCCAAGCTGTAAACTTTTTCTGGCAGCTTCAGTAGAAGTACAGGCTAGCAATTTAAAGTTTTTCATTGTGTGGAAAAAAAATCCATCCTAAGTCAGGTGCCAGGTTCAGAGAGGGACCATCTGAACGCAGCGGAGCGGCACAGAGCCGATCACTTATTGCTTAGAACTCGGTTTATAGATTTCCTCCTCACAGAGCTAATCCCTGGTCTCCCTACACTGGCACCCCTCGTATATGGACCCATAAAATCCTGTCTTTTTGCTCCTTGCATTAATTAAGCTTTATTAGTAATAGCCTATTGATTACTTTGTAACCTGCCTTGAAATGAATCACTGGGGAGGATAGGGCAACTCATGCTGGGAGTCCGGGTGGAGGTTTTTTTCTCTCCGGGAGCTAGATGATGTCAGTGGAAAGTCCTACTGCTCTCCTCCCCTCCCCATGATTCTCACGGTGTTCATTACCTCCGTCCTACAGATGCATTCAGTCACTAAGGCTACTGTCTGGCTAAGAGGAAGCAGGGATGGCTGTCATGGTGAGCAGCTGATGGAACAGGTTCTGCCTTTAAGCATCGCCTCCACACTGTCTCCCTTGAAACTCCAGGGTTCACATATCAAGGTTTAAGTGTCTTGTCCACTCTCCTTGTTGCATTTCCTGGTGATATAAAGGCAAAATCCTATCATATCTATAGTTTCGGCTGATAGGGTAGTCAGCAACTGTTCTCTGATGCCTGGGAGACAGTAGTTATACACTTTCAAACTCACTGGAAGGGACAAAAGCTGGACTAGTTTATCTTTTAGTCCTTGTATGGTATTTATTCTTTACAAAGTAACCAATGCCTTAAAGAACTGTGATCTCAAACACAGAAATGGTAGATAACCCTGAAGTGCAATTAACGCATGAGAGACCCACATGCTAATTAATAGTTGATAGAAATAATGAAAGCAATAAAATGATGATTTTAAATAAATTGTTCAGATGTATATAAGGTAGGATATTAACATGTAACAGGAACAAGAATCTTTAAAGATAAACTAGGTAGAACTATTAGGTCTGAAAAATATGAGTTTAAAATAAAATTTTGAGTTTAAAATGAAGCTCAATAAATGAATACATACCAGGATAGGTATAATTTATATTGGATACCCTGTAGTTAGCACTTCTAGATTCACTCTCCACAGTTATCTACCTTGTACTTATTCCATGATCTGTGCATTGAGGGAAAAACCTTGCAAGGAACCCTCATGCACTATTGTTGGGTGTGTAAATTACTACAGCCACTATGGAGAACAGTGTGGAGGTTCCTTAAAAAACTAAAACTAGAGTTACTGCAATCCCTTTCCTGGGTATATATCTGGATAAAACCATAATTTGAAAAGATACATGCAATCTGATGTCCACTGTAGCACAATTTTTTAGCCAGGGCATGGGAACAACCAAACTGTCCATTGACAGATGAATGGATACAGAAGATATATGCTGCTGCTGCTGCTGCTAAGTCACTTCAGTCGTGCCCGACTCTGTACCACCCCATAGATGGCAGCCCACCAGGCTCCCCCGTCCCTGGGGTTCTCCAGGCAAGAACACTGGAGTGGGGTGCCATTGCCTTCTCCACAGAAGATACATATACATATACATATATATATATATATATATATATATATATATATACATACATACACATATATGCATATATATAGAGTATTATTCAGACAGAACATCAACAGTAACTTATTGCACATGTCTTTGTAACTTGCTTTTTTTTTCTCCACGTTATTTTTATGAGTTGTATTCATGATGCTGCTTATAACCCCAGCTCATTCCTACTGCTGTGCAGTATCTTCTGGAGAAGGAAATGGCAACCCACTCCAGTGTTCCTGCCTGGAGAATCCCAGGGACAGGGGAGCCTGGTGGGCTGCCATCTGTGGGGTCTCATAGAGTCAGACTTGACTGAAGTGACTTAACAGCAGCAATATCTATTACATACCTGTATCAGTTATCTACTGCTGTGCAAAAAACTTACTCTAAAATTTAGGAGTGTGAAACAATGATAGTCTCTGTAGGTCAGGGATTTAGGAGACACTTAGCTGAGCTATTCTAATTCAGGGTCTCCCACCAGGTTGCATTCAAGATATTTGCTAAGGATGCAGTCATCTGAAGGCTTGACTGCGGCTGGAGACTTTGCTTCCAAGATGGCTCATTCAGGAGACTGAGAGTTGGTACTGGTTGTTGGAAGGAGCCTCAGGTCCTCACCAGCTGGTATCACCACAGGGCTATGTGAGCAGGCTCCCCCATCCCTGGGATTCTCCAGGCAAGAACAATGGAGTGGGTTGCCATTTCCTTCTCCAATGTGTGAAAGTGAAAAGTGAAAGGGAAGTCGCTCCGTCCTGTCTGACTCTTTGTGACTCCATGGACTGCAGCCACCAGGCCCCTCCACCCACGGGATTTTCCAGGCAAGAGTACTGGATTGGGGTGCCATTGGCTTCTCCATACATACATACACATATATGCATATATAAATGAACATTACTCAGATGCAAAAAAGAATGAAATAATGCTATTTGCAGCAACATGGATGGGCCTAGAGAGTATCATTCTAAGTGAAGTAAGCCAGACAGAGAAAGAATAAACATATGACATCGCTGGTGGTGGTGGTTTAGTCGCTAAGTCATGTCCAACTGTGAGTGACCCCATGGACTGCAGCCCGCAGGCTCCTCTGTCCATGGGACTCTCCAGGCAAGAATACTGGAGTGGGTGCATTTCCTCCTCCATATGACTTTGCTAAAAGAATCTAAAAAAATTATACAGTTGAAATTATATGCAACACAGAAATATTCTCACAGATACAGAAAACAAATGTGGTTACCAAAGCAGAAAGGAAAGGAGAGATACATTAGGAGTTTGGGATTAACATATACACATTACACTATATAAAGTAGATAACCAGCAAGGAAATCTACTGTATAGCTATATGGGTAAAAATATCTGAAAAAATGTATATGTAACTGAATTAGTTTGCTATACACCTGAAACTAACACAATGTTATAGATCAAGTATACTTCAACAAAAAAATTAAGTTAAGAAATGAAGGGACTGATAGGTGAAATCTTGTATAACCTTCCCTAAGTGTCAAACGTTGTTGAGATAGGGACGTTTGAACACTGAACTGGATATTTGATTACTTTAAAAACTTAAAGCTTTATTTAAAGAAAAGGAAAAAACTTGCTGTCTTATTTTTGTCAGAATGAGTCAGTGGTTCGCACAGTAGGAGATCGGAGGAAGAAAGGATCGTCCATTTACTGCGATGCCTCGATCTTGGTCAGCAACAGGTGTGCAGTGTCTGCTCGTCTCTGGGGTGAGATCAGGGGCTGGTAACTGCACCCTCACCTGTCTCCTCTGGTATAAAGTGGCAGCAGGTAGAGTTTGCTCCTTCTCCTGGCTGCTTCATCATACATTCCTGCTCTCCTTTCGGCCTGCCAACACCTCTGACCGCCTCACTACCCGCTTTGAACCGCCTCTTCTGTCGGAACGCTTTTACTGCTGGCACGCGGGCCCGTAAAGTCGTTGACGTGGCCACTGGCGCACGACTCAGACCCAACACATGGGAGACCATGGACCATCCGTATCATGGAACGAGACGAAATACAGGTGGAGAGCCAAGTGAACGGAGACCGGCCAGCTGAGGCGGTTAGGTGCTGTAGCGACACCGTGGTCTGCAAGGCGGCGGTGAGTCAGCGCCCCGCGTGTTGGCCCTAAATGCCACGTGGAGCGCGTGCTGAGCCGCAGTCATGCCTGACTCTTTGCAACCCTACGGACCATAGCCCATCAGGCTCTTCTGTCATGGGATTCTCCAGGCAAGAATACTGGAGTGGGTTGCCACGCCTTCCACCGGGGGATTTTCCCAACCCAGGGACCGATCCCGCATCTCTTGTGTCTCCTAAATTGGCAGGCAGGTTCTTTACCACAGCCACACTTGGACATAGAGCAAGGGCAAATAAAAGTCGTCATGACTTATGACGACTTAGTCTGTGTCTATCTCTTGTACTTGTGGGTTGGGAATGACTGAGAATTATGGGCCTTCTAAGTGTTTTAACTAAAGCCTGAACTCAATAGGCAGTTAAATAAAAGGCAATAAATTATTAGATACTCTCCAATGTTAATATGTTAATGTGCCTATGAATCAGTGGTTTCCGTCACTAGTCTTTATCCTGAGGTTCTTCAATTCTAACAAGATCCCAGGGGTTATCAATGTTGTGTGTGCGTGTGTTAGTTTTTCAGTCATGGCTGGCTCCTTGTGATCCCATCGACTATAACCCTCCAGGCTCCTCTGTCCATGGAATTCTCCAGGGAAGAACGCCGGAGTGTGTTGTCATTCCCTTCCCCAGAGGATCTTCTTGGCCCAAGAATCAAACCTGGGTCTCCCGCATTACAGGTATATCCTTTCCTGCCTGAGCCCCCAGGGAACCCCAGTCACAGTGGCTCAGCCGAGCCGTGTCTGAGTCTTTGCGACCCCATGGACTGTAGCCCATCACGCTTCTCTGTCCATGGAGCTCTCCAGGTGAGAATCCTGGACTGGGTTGCCATGCCTTCCTCCAGGGGATCTTCCCGACCCAGGGTTGAAACCCAGGTCTCCTGCATTGCAGGTGGATTCTTTACCATCTGAGCCATAGGTCTTCCCTATCAATGTTGCTGATCTATATGTTCAAAGAGTAGAGACATTAAATTGCAACTTTCATTTGCAGTATGTTCACTTGGGATGGCAATCTCTAGGTCCATATATGCTGCTGCCAGTAGTGTGATTTCATATTTTGGTGACTGAGCACTTTTCCCTTGTACCTGTGACCACACCGCGTTCATCTGTTGATGGAGATTTAGGCTGTTTCCATGTCTTGGTGACTGTAACCTGTGAACAATGAGCACTGAGGTGTGTGTATGCTCTTGAAATGTGCCTTTCTCCAAATATATACCCAGAAGTGGGATTTCTGGATTATATGAGCCTCCCTACTGTTCTCCATAGTGGCTGCACCAATTTACATTCCCAGCAGCGATACAGGCGGCTTCTCCTTTTTCTAGGCCCTCTCTAAAATGTATTGCTTATAGATGTTTTTGATGGTGGCCATCCTGACTGGTGTGAGGTAATAGCTCACTGTAGTTTTGATTTGCATCTCTCTAATGAGAAGTGGGTGAAGTGAAGTCGCTCAGTCGTCTTGGACTCTTTTCGACCCCATGGACTGTAGCCTACCAGGCTCCTCCGTCCATGGGATTCTCCAGGCAAGAATACTGGAGTGGGTTGCCGTTTCCTTTTCCAGGGCTGCCGTTTCCTTCTCCAGGGGATCTTCCCGACCCAGGGATAGAACCCGTGTCTCCCGCATTGCAGGCAGACGCTTTAACCTCTGAGCCACCAGGGAAGCCCTTGATTTAAGGGAATAGATCTGATAGACAGAGAGCCTGATGAACTATGAACGGAGGTTCGTGACATTGTACAGGATACAGGGATCAAGACCATTCCCATGGAAAAGAAATGCAAAAAGGCAAAATGGTTGTCTGAGGAGGCCTTACAAATAGCTGTGAAAAGAAGAGAAGTAAAAAGCAAAGGAGAAAAGGAAAGATATTCCCATTTGAATGCAGAGTTCCAAAGAATAGCCAGGAGAGATAAGAAAGCCTTCCACAGTGATCAATGCAAAGAAATAGAGGAAAACAATAGAATGGGAAAGACTAGAGATCTCTTCAAGAAAATTAGAGATACCAAGGGAATATTTCATGCAAAAATGGGCTCAATAAAGGACAGAAATGGTATGGACCTAACAGAAGCAGAAGATATTAAGAAGAGGTGGCAAGAATACACAGAACTGTACAAAAAAGATCTTCATGACCCAGATAATCACAATGGTGTGATAACTCATCTAGAGCCAGACATCCTGGAATGTGAAGTCAAGTGGGCCTTAGAAAACATCACTACAAACAAAGCTAGCGGATGTGATGGAATTCTAGTTGAGCTATTTCAAATCCTGAGAGATGATGCTGTGAAAGTGCTGCACTCAATATGCTAGCAAATTTGGAAAACTCAGCAGTGGCCACAGGACTGGAAAGTGTCCATTTTCATTCCAATCCCTAAGAAAGGCAATCCCAAAGAATGTTCAAACTACTGCACAATTGCACTCATCTCACACACTACTAAAGTAATGCTCAAAATTCTCCAAGCCAGGCTTCAACAATACATGAACCGAGAACATAAAAACAAGACAACTATTGAACGTTTAAAGGTTGCACTATGCTGAGTAGTCACCATTTGTGAATTTATATCTTCTTTCTGCTCTTCTCTACCTTAAAAAAAATGAAAACTAAACAGTGATGTATTCAAAAGATTATTATATGTGTCTGTCCTATGCATTTTGTGTTTGCTTCCTCCCAGTTCTTGCTGGGAGGATGGACAGAGGAACCTGGTGGACTACAGTCCGTGGAGTCGCAAAGAGTTGGACACGACTCAGCAACCAAGCTCAGCACAGAGGAGAGCCCACAGCACCTGCAGAGGTTTTTGTGATCACCTCAATTTGAAGTTTTCCAAAAGAAATGAATTTAGCAACTTACCTTTTCCTCATCTTTGCGGTATCTCAGATAACTCTACCTCAATGGATTACTTAAGAAATTATCTTTACTCATGGCATATTCTAATATCCATATCTACCAAAATGTAATATAATACATGTTTATGTGTGTATAGATGTGTATATGTGAGGAAGGGAAAGGCTACCCACTCCAGTGCTTACCTGGAGAATCCCCATGGACAGAGGAGCCTGGTGGGCTGCAGTTCATGGGGTCGCACAGAGTGGGACACAACTGAGCGACCATGCACAGCACAGCACCTACATATATGTAAATTTTTTAGACTAAAGATGGACAGGATGTGGATAAGTAGGTAATGTCCATGGTATCTAAGGTCACATGTTCAAACGTGAAGATCATAACTGAGTAAGGGAATTATATAAGCAGGTCTTCCATGTTCTGCAACCAATTTTAAAATATTGTGGGGGTGGTTTCCTCACACCCCCCACAAGCAATTCTTGGGACATCAGCTGGAGATGGCGTCGGATTCCATAGATTAAGAGTTCAGAGCTGCAAGACAGCACCGCCCCACCCCACCAGCCTCACCAGCCCACCCCACTTCCCCCTGTACTTCAATCAGTCGCAAGCCCAGGCTGTTATATGCACGTTTCTCTGCCCAGGTATAAGCCAGAAGTTCCCAAGACCACCTTCTCTGGGGGTCTAGTGTGGCTCATAGGCCTTAGAATACCCATTTAGTCCCTGGATTACTGATTTATTATAAAAGGATACAACGCAGCAATAGCCAAGCAGAAGGGATGCATAGTGTGAGCTATGTGGGAAGGGGCGCCCACGCCCTCTCTAGGAATGCCTAGTTCCACAAATTTCCCTGTGTTCACCAATCTGGACGCTCTCTGAACTCAGTCTTTTTGTGGTTTTATGGAGGTTTCATTGCATAGACATAATTGATTAAATCATTAGCCATCGGAGAGTGATTCAACCTCCAACCCTCCCGCCCTCCCTGGGGACCAGGGGAATGGGTCTGCAAGCTGCAAGCCTCTAATCACACAGTTGATTCATCTGGTGCTCTGCCCCCATCATTATGTGACATGTTAGCATTCCAGAAGTAACTTCATTAATATAACAAATGTTAGGTTTATCACTCTCATCACATAAGAAATTTCAAAGACCTTAGGAGTCCTGTGCCAGAAAAGAGGACTATAAATCTAAATATATCTTCTTTGTTTTAAATCACAGCATCACAGCAGGTAAACAAACCATATACATATGAATCGTAGTAAAGCAAACACAATTCAATTACTTTTTGTTATTATTCCATACAGAGTATGTGTACTCAAAAAAATTAAATTAAATCTCTAATGCTAGAAATTCCAGATAACAGATTCAGTTAAGAAAAAACTATATATTGGTTTTACTTAAAGGTCATAACTTTAAAAGTATGCTGCAGAGTCTGAATAAAGAACATTTTACATCTATGGAGTTTAGAAATAAACCAACGTTCTTTTAATCACCATAGAGGATGTTTTGTTAATCTTATTGGCAGTAGCCGTAGTGTTCTCAGTAATGTGTCTCCTTGTCTTTGCTTTCAGTCTTCATGTTAAGTTTTTAACAGAATTCGTGTAAGAGTGTGCATAGCATTGGCCTCCCAGGAGGCTCAGTGGTAAAGAGTCTGCCTACCAATGCAGGACATGCAGATTCGATCCCTGGGGCTGAGAGATCCCCTGGAGAAGGAAATGGCAACCTACTCCAGTATTCTTGCCTGGGAAATCCCATGGACAGAGGAGGCTGGCAGGCTACAGTCCATGGAGTTGCGAAAGAGTTGGACAAAATGACTAAACAACAATGTGGAGAATATACCTTTGGCATCAAATTCCTTGGGTTTAGTTTTTGTCTCCATATTACACTGTGTAACTAAAAATGTCCTTTAACCATTTCTCTGGCCTTAACTTTCCTAACTGATAAATGGGGTTAATAATATTGCCTAAGCAGGTTTGTTTGAAGAATCAATGAAAATACATGAAAACACTTAAGACAATGTCTGGCACAAAAAATCACCCCATAAATCTACATTTTGTGTGTGTGTGACACCCGCTATTAACACGAAGATGAAAGTGGAATAATTCCTATTCTCCAGAAAGACAGATTTGAGCTCTTGGAGAGCAAAA